GGGTCCTATTTTTGAAAGCTAAGGTAATTCAAAAAAATCTCATTCATTATTTATTTATTATAAATATAAATTTCGATTAAATGTTACTTGTACCTAGATTTCTATGAAAATATTTTGTTTGAGCACAAAGGGATCAAATAATTCAATTCTAGTATACCTACATTCACTTCCATATAAATTATATATACGCAAACAATCCTTTTTGTATTTTGAATTAAATTTACGCATTAAGCTGATTTAAACATGGACAAAGGACAGAAATAAAAGGATACAAGGTAAAAATTACTCAAACAATGCAAATAAACAAAAATAAAACATTTTTTGTTCGGCATATACAAACACGTGTAAGTGTAGATTTAGATTTCATAAGTTTAGTTCTATTGCACAATGCTAATTGGAACATAATACTGTATTGTATAGAATTTGAATTAAATGTTAGTTAACAATATTAAGATTTGACATCCTTTTTCTAGTATAATAAATATATGATCGCCTATATGAGATTAATATTCTGGGATTTAGATTTTTTGATTTCTTAATTAAATTAAAAGTTTTACAAAATTGAAAATTGTATTTTGTAAAAAAAAATTTTTTTAATAACATTCAAATTATTTGATTAAGTAAGCAGGGCGATTTATGGTCAATTTATATTAAGATGTCACAAAGATTATAATCAAAAGTAGAATAATTAAATGAAAATTTTATGGTGAGGTTTTTTATATGCAATAGCTGTAAGCCTATATAAAACAAAATACAAAAATGTGTTTTGTTAAAAACATATGGTGATGGGGTTCTCAGTTTGTGTAGAATTTATGCAGAAATGAAAGGCTCACTCAGTTACTGGTCCGAGTTCAATGTGGAGAACAAAAATTCTTTGAATTTTTTAGATTTTTTAAATTCATTCTTCTATCAATGATATCCAATCTGTTCTGGGTCTATAAAAATATTTATTAAATGCGTAAGGAAATGTGTTAACTCTGTGATACACGTACAAATGAGTAATTTTAAGAGTTGGATGGTAATTACCACACTTTTGCAAATGAGTTCTTATTTTCTCATATGCATAGTATTATTTCATACATATGTGGCAGTTATCACATAAATTCATACAACCTCAAGGACTATACGGAAAAAAATTCCTATTATAAAAAGTTTCTGAAATTTAATTCCTATTATTAAAAGTTTCTGACTAATAATTTTTGAAGTTTTAAGGCAGACGATGGACAGATGAACAGATATGGTTAAATTGGTTAGGAATTCGACTCTGATTAAAAATATACAGTTATGTCTATGCCTCAGACCATTATTTCTAAGCGTTACAAACGGAATTGGAAATTTATGCCAGTTATCGAAAATATGTTTGCATTCAGGTATTAAAAACAATCATCCTACTTTCAACAAGAGGAGTGTGTTTTGGGGTGCTTTGTTTTACTACAACCCTGTCATATCCTGTACAAGCCTATGAAATTGAAAATTTTAACATTTTAATTCGACTTCTTGTGGGATTATAAGACCTTTTAACAACTATCTATAGATTTTTCAGCAAACAAATTATTTTTTTTCTATCCCACTTCGTTTCTGGGAGGAGTGTAGGGCTGGTACATGATATTATAGATAGACAGGAACCAGTTTCTTACATCGTTGAATTTACCCTATTGCCCTGTTACCCTATATAGAATACTTAATATTAATTTAGCTTTTACATAATTTCTTAATTAAATAATTATGAAAATAGTTTAATTTTACTTCAAATTAAAGTCGCACCATTTATAATCTTTAAAACAAAACGCTATATGCATTCTATATTAATTTGAAAATAATCTTTAATTAATGACCCTTATATCATCATTTCATTATAATCAATTCAAATCAATTAAAGATTACAAGCAATCTTTAAATTCCTATTACAACAAATATAGTAAGAAACAAAATTCTTTTACAGAAAAAGAGGATATTAAAAATTAAATAGAAAACATGACTATAATTTTTAAGTAACTTCATATACCATTTTGTATTTCCAACTAACTAACACGTATTTAATATAACTTTGTTTACTTTATAATGTACATGCTGTTTTCGTATTGTGTATGTCAACATTGTATACTTAATTAAATTCATTAATGAAGTTTTTTTTTTTGTTTGTAGCACCCATACTACTTTAATAGTATTAGTTACTTATCTATCTATAATTTTTTTTCATTAATATATTTTTAACCCATATTTTTTACTAATAGTGTTGTATACAGAAAAGGAAGTATGGTTTTAATATTGCAGTTTTCTTCTTGAGTTTTAAATAGTAGAAAAATGTTAGGTAATTATTTTTAATCTTGTAAATCTGTCAGTTTACAACGCTGTTCATTTCCTATTCTGGCAATAGGCAATAGGACTTTCCGATCAGTTCCGAAATTTAGTGATTCTGACTCAGATCCCGATTTCATATTATATAATAAGTTTGTTTACGACTCTCATTTCATAGCAATAAAAACATTTTAAGTTGAATAATTTTGACCCTGTTTTTCATTCCGCAACCTCGACTCTGATTCTTCGATTTTGATTCTGATTTCTCGATTCTGTTTTCCATTTCTTAGATTTTTATTCTGGCTTCTCGAATCTGATCCCCTGATTTAAATCAAGACTCCTCGACTCCGATTTCTCGATTCCAACTTTGTTGTTTAGAACAACAATTGTTATTTAGAATAACAATTTCCTAATTCTCTTAAAATCTGAAATATTTCTACTAGAATTATTTCTAATTTCGTCAGTACATTTCATTAAAGAGAAATTTTTAAAAATCATTAAGAAAACAGACAAGGGGTTCGAATATATTCTGACCATATCAGATTATTTTTTTTTAATATACCTTACGAATACCAATAATACTCGTATAAATGCGGTAAAATATTATGAGATTCTATTGAGAATGAGTTACAAATTCATATATATATATATGTTCAATTTAATGTAAACATTAACTATGATAACGCAAAGGAATCAAACAATAAAAATAAGAACAAAGAACAAAAAGAGAAATGATAAAAGTGTGTCAGTTAATGGTTTTAATATGAAATTTTCGTGACAAAATGAAATTTTCCTTTAACATATTTTTAGGCTACCTACTTATACTATACAATATTTATACTATTATAGAACGATATTACATGTATGTATGTGTAGATTAATTTAAAGAAGGCAATATGAGAATACCAAATTATTTTTATAAATTATGTTTTTCTTAAATTTCTCTCGTATTACAGTCCCATACATATACATGTACAAAATATCTTTCATTATACGAGTATTTTGGCATACCTTCTTGTCTATATGCAATTTTACATAGATAGTCAAATTTCTAGAGGAAATCAATTGTGTTTTTTTTTCTCAAGTCTATCTATATTAACGTTTAAATGAAGAAAAAAGCATATGTTCAACTTTTTTTTAGAAATGAAATAGAAAATATAAGAAAGAGGATATAAGACGAAAAAAATTATAAATGTTTAAAGGCACACGAAATCATCTGTTTTCGATTCATAGCCTGATGTGATGCTCATTTTTTTTTTGTTCATTTGTTTATACTGAACTATACGCAAAATGAAGAAAAAAAAATACAAAATGCCAAAATAATATTATTTTCTACTGATTTCAAGGTTTTTCAAATGTACAATTTAGCTAAAAGGCAGAAAAGAACAGAAAATGAAAATATTCAAAGCAAGAAATGTAGAAACAAAGCGGCAATGAATATTATTAGAAAAAATATAGGTGGCACGTACTAACAATACAGTAGAACGTATCAACCGCAACAATAAAGTTGAAAGTTTTGAATATTAAATAAAAACTAAAAAAGTAGTAACTCTTCATCGGCTTCTGCCTTCCTACGCTTCTCTCCAAGTCACATAATGAAAATTAAAAGGATAACATAAAAATACAAATAAAGACAAAAAAAAATTTTATTCCTTTACTTTCACAACAATATTATTGTAGTGTATGGTTAATATTTTGTTCTTAAGGCTAAGTATAAAAATTTATTTTGCAAATTTAATTTTGAATTCAGAGCCAGTTTAGTCTTAAATAACTATGGTTTATTATGGAGAAAATATTTCTTAAATTTATTATATTTTCTTATAATTAAATTAATATACTGCAAGGAAAATTTTATATTTTTTTGAGTGAGAAAGAGTTTGAAAGCAAACAATACTGTTGACTTTATTTTTCTCAATTGATTTTAAAGATTTGATATTAAATTGGTATAGGAGGATGAGCTAGGAAAATTTAGGCCTTGATCCAGTTTCGATCCCAGTTGGATCAGTGTTCTCCTGGAAAAGTTTCATTCTCAGTTAATTCATCGTTACACAACAGTACATGAACTGTGTCAGCTCGTTTTCTTCTAGAGAAGTATGGATTAATATTGAAGAAAAGATTTGTAAAATTCTTAGAACACCTTATCTTCGATTAGAAATAATTTTTGCCTGACAAACTAAGTGTTTTCTTTCGACCAGAATACAAGGAACTAAGTAAAATTTGAATAACTACATTTACTTGTTAAAATGTTCACTCGTATTGGGAAATTCGTTTCGATGAAAATTAATGTATTATAATATTTTTTTCTACAAAAATAAATTTGTTTGATCAATTAGTTTCGACTTTTTTTGTCAAAATCAAACTCTTAAATAGCTTTTGTTAGTGAATAATGACTGTTTTTTCCCATAAATTTCTTTGCGGAGAATAATTATTGTTATACGGAATAATGGATCGAATTCTCAGGTACACAAGAAATTACATAATTAATTATGACAACAAATATAAATATTTTTGAGAACTTTGCCGTAAAGATTATAAATTCTAAATAAGTCATTTCGAGTGTTGAAATTAAAAATTTAGTTTTTGTACTCTTATCGTATTGTACTTTAAGTTTTAACGACATTAATTAGAAATATGAAAGCATCAAAATATAAAAATAATCGTGTACTATAAATAAATCAAAATAAAATCATAATAAAACTTACCCCTAATAAATTTCGTGGAACATAACCTTCTGTTCCATTTGTATTTTTTGCCCACCACCATTCACGTTCAGCATCATCACCTTTCCTTAATATTGTTAGGCGATCATTTACAACAAAACTAAGTTCATCAGTTTGTTGAGCTTCATATGAAAAAACTGCATATACTTCTCCACTATTTAATATTCCTAATTTCTCTTGAATACCTGAAAATTATTAAGAAAAATTTTTCCTTTATATAAAATATTTAGAAAATTATTTATATCCTTAAGGAAATACATACAAAAAAATAAAACTTATAAAGAGAGAATGGAAACTTTAAAGTGGAAATGTTTTTCCTATTCTTTTAAACCACAAAAAATAAAAAATACAATCATAATTTGTTCAGGATGCATAATATAAAAGGAAACAAAAAAAAAATAGAGGAAAAGAGGAAAAGCGGAAGTTGATCGCTTGAATATAAATGAAAATGCGAAAAATAAATTTGATCCGGATAACTTTAAGGTAAAGCGAACAATTTGGACATTTTTATGGAAAAATCTATGGGTTAAATAATTCAGCTAACTTATTGGCACAGACTTAAATGCAGGAAATTTTGGCCTAGGTCCTCAAAACCAGATAGGATGTTTTTCAAAATTTGTAATGTTTAATAATGAATAACCGTTAGGAGTAACCATTTTATTTTCTGGGAGTAACCATTGTTATAGTGAGAGCATAACAAAAATATGTGTGACTAGTAATGAATGAAGCTGCAAATTAAGTATGTACAACAAGAATTTCATTGCCTTTTATTGTATCGTGCAATTTCCGTTTCAATTTCTTCTTTATTTTTTAAATTAAAAAGAAATATTGTTTAAAATTTTCACGTAAACTTTAGACTTTTTCCTATTTCTAGCCACTTAATGGATTTTTATTGTTAAAGAATTTACGTTTTCGAAAGAATACAAAATATAAAGTTATTCAAGAATAGAATAATTTCAATAGAATTTTTTCTTTTTTCATTATGTTTTATGCTTTTCCGCGGAAACGATATACTTAAGAATGTTGAACATTCGAAATTGTTTGTGCGTGTATAAATAACAAGTTAATATTATTATTATACTTACTATATAAATATTCTGAGCATCCATCAAAACCTTCTTCATCTTCTTCACATTTTTCAGCTGGTGTTTCATGATCTGATAATGTTGCAGCAAATAGGCAAGCACCATTTTCAACTAAAAATTTAACCATTGCTAAATTATTACAACTGGCAGCACAATGAAGTGGTGTCCAACCATCAGAATCTTGAGCATTAACATCACAGCCAAATTCAACAAGGAATCTAGAAATAATGTACGAATATATTTTTTAAATTTTTATAATAATATGGGCGAATAGGGTAATTAGAATAATAACTTACTTGACAATTTCAATGTGACCAGCACATATCGCATTATGTAATGCTGTGATACCTTCATCATTTGCTGCACTTGGATTTGTTACTTGCATTGCAGTTTTCTTAACCAATTCTAATTCACCTTCTAAACTAGCATCTAATAGTAGCGCCAATGGATCAAAACTAACGCGTCTTGTTAATTTTACTTTACCATTTTCATTTGTAGTACCTGTATGTCTAAGGCGTCGTTTAATATCATCTGGTGATTTACCTTCTTCATTTAATGTTGATGAACTAGCAGAACGGTCTGTTTCATCAGCTGTACTTGTATTACTTGCACTAGCCGGACTTGGTATTGATGGTATTTGATTTTGTTGCTGTTGTATAGCAAGTGGATTAAGTGGTTGTTGTTGATTTTGTAAAGAACTAGATGGTATATTTGAATTATTATTATTGTTATTATTTCCTTTATCAATTTTATCATTTGAATTCGGAAAAAGAAATGCTGTTGGCATTTCAATTCTTCTTGTTTGATATTGTATGGGTTTTATACCGGATGTTTGTGATTTTAAACGTGGTTGTTCTGATAATGGTTGCTTACGTATTGTAAGTGGTTTTGCTTTAATTGGTAAATTATCAGGATTAGATGATGGAAAATTTGTTGTAGAATTTGTTGAATCATTTGGTTCTGATATTGGTGCTTTATTTATGGCATTTATAACAGATGGTTGTGGTATGTTACTATTACTACTAAAATTGCTATTATTATTATTATTGTTATTGTTATTGTTATTTGCTATGGTTGCTGTTGTTGTTGGTGTTATCGTACTGTCTGTAGTAGTTGAAGTTGCCGCTGTTGATGATGTGTGCGTAGGTGCTGCTGGAGGTGAAGACTTATTTGGTTTAGGTGGCAAGGCAGGTCTTGGTGATGATTTATCATTAGATGAATCCGTTGATGACACAATTGATGTTATTATGTTCGGTGCAACTTTATTAACTTTTGGACTATGTGAAACAATTTTTGGGATAGCTGAAGTATGAGTAATAGAAGTTGGTGCTACACTACTAATTGGTTTTCTTGGTGGTACAACTAAATTTCCAGATGGAATTTGATGTAAAGCTTTAGGTTTAACAGCAGGTTTTTCATCACGTGTACTATTGTTTGTTGAATTATTTGATGAGATATTGCTATTATTAGTATTACTACCACCTAATGTAGGTATTGTTGTCGTAGATGCTGTTGATACTGCTGTTGCAACAGATTTATTCGCCGTACTCAATGGTATACTATGAACTGTTAATTTTTGTGTTGAATTTTTATTTGCAACTGTTGTATTAGATATTTCAATTTGATTTGATGTATCATTTAATTTATTTTCAGTATCAATACCATCATTTGATGAATGTGATTTGGAGCTTGTTATTGAATTTGGACTTAAATTAGTAGTTGTTGTTGTGGTTGATATTTGATTTGAATTTGATTTTAAAGTAGATTTATAAGGCAATTTTGATTTTGTTATTGTAACTGAATTTGATGAATCACTAGCCGAATCACGTGGACTATGTTGCTGTTGTTGTTGCTGCTGTAATTGGTGCGATGGTACATGTTGTGATGAACTCAAATTACCCTTTGTCGTAGTTCCTAATTTTTGTCTAGCCAATTTTGTTTCATCACTTTCAGCATACGATAAATGATTAACATTAATATTTGCATTAACATTTGTTAAATTTAATTTAAGATTCGTTAAATCTTGAATTAATTGATTTTGTTGATTTGTATTTAAGGTGGCTGCTGATTGTTTACTGAGTAAATTATTTTGTAAAGTTGCAGATGATGTTGTTATTGTTGATTTTTGTGGTGTATGTATATAAGGTTCAACTGCAGCAACATTACTACGTGTTAAAATTCTTTGCGAGGGATATACACTATTTGATGGCCTAACACTTAATGGAATACCAGAATGATGAGATTGATTAGATTGTTGATTACTAACATTAGAATTAGAAGATGATGAAATAGAAGAAGATGTTGTAGCTGGCGCTGTTGTTGATAAAGTTTGTGATTGATGATTTGATTGTTGATTATTATTAACGTTATTTAAAGAAGGAATCTGCTTCTTAGGTTGATGCAAATTTTGTTGTTGTAATTGATGTTGTTGATTATGTTGCTGTTGTTGTTGTTGCAAGTGATGCTGCTGCTGTTGATGATGTTGCGCATTTTGTTGCAGCTGTTGTTGTTGTTGAAGTGATTGTTTTTGACTTATTTGCTGATTGATATGCTGTTGTTGGATATGTTGTTGTTGCTGTTGCTGCTGTTGTTGCTGATGATGTGTTTGATTTATTAAAGTATTTAATATTGGACTTGCCTGTTGTTGTTGTTGAACTAAATTTGATGCCTTTTTTCGCTGTAACCGTGTTTGTAATTCTAATATTCTTTGATCTACTGATCTTAATTCTGCTTGACGTTGCTGTAAAGCTTCACGTTGCAAATGTAATCGTGCATCTTGTTGAAGTGATAATTGGTTTCGGTACTAAAATTCAATTAATAGTTTTATTTAAATTTAAGAACAAATTCATTTTATAATTAAAACATAATTAGAATAACATGATGATTTACCATTAATTCCCTTCGTAACTTTTCTAATTCTCTAGCCGCAGGAGATGATAATGGTTGACCGTTTCCATTTCCTGGTATTAAATTTAATGGTCCTCTTCTATCACGTCTAAGTTCTTCAAGTTGTCTTGTTAAAGCTTCAACTTTTGCTACCGCCAAACTAAGTTCTTTCTCTTTTTCACTAAAAAGTGCACGAATCGAGTCCAAGTCATTACCTGAAAATATAAAAATTAATAATTTATTAATTTTAAAATTCATAAAAATTTTAATAAATTAGGTTTAAGTGTATAGAAGGATTTAATTTCGTTTGAAAAATTTCCCGTGGAAAATTTTTAGCAACATATTATTTATTAAAAGATTGACCATATAGCATTCATTGAATTTCTATGGGCAATTAACAACAAATAGTCTATAAACACAAATACAACATCGTTTGTAATCCATTATAAAGATAACTGACGTATATCTATATGCATTTACATTGGAATTTCTAAAAGCAATAACTATTGTTATTGAAAACAAAGTGCGGAACACAATATTAATAATTGCCATTGACAACTTTAACACAATATTGATTTTCATTTTGTATTTATTTGTAAATAAAATATTAATCCTTTCTCAAATTTTGTATACACGTAAATAATTGTATGAATGAAAAGGATATAAAATATAAAATTTTCATTTGTTGATTGCGTAAGACCAGAATGCATGTTATATGTACTTTTATTATAAAACAAAAACAATTGTGGTTGAAAAACGAAAAAAAAAATTTTATTTGTACACGTAATGTAAACTTTTTTTTTTGTTTGATTTGCGTTACGATAGAAGAATGGATCATATAGTAGGGCATAATTTCATAATTCAATATAAATATTTATTTTGAGCATTTCATTCAGCTAGATGAACATAAAATATTTCTGTTTTATGAAATATTTAAATTCTTAAACGTGTTCGTCTCGCGGAGACTTACTATTTTAATAATTTTTGATACGCAAGCCTACTCATAGGGACTGAAATCGGCCCCTAACAATGTAAGGCCAAATATATTAAATCAATTTATAGTCAACTGGATCGCTAACATCATTCCCGAGATTATTCGCTCGAGTAGCACTCACTTCACATAAAGTCCTATTATTTATTTCAGAGCATGAACTCTTTAATACACACATTACATAACAGTGTGTGAAGACTAAGCAACGGTATATAAAAATATTTAAAAATTCTATTAATGCTTTTTTTATTTCTAAAATTATTGTATAACATTCTGGTTTATTTTTATGTACGATAACCAAAAAAAAAAATTTTTTTTTTCGTATTTTCGTAATTTGTAATTTTGTAATATTTTGCATATCTTCTTTGTCTATTGAGAATTAAACCGAAAACAATGAATAAAACAAAAATTTTGTAATCAAAATGTCAGTCACAGGATTAAAACAAAATTCTATTTAAAATAACAAGTCAACAAACATTCTCTCAGAATAATAATTCATATATGAATTAGTACACAATTACATACATAGTTCCTATTTAAAATACAATACATTGTTGTATAATTAAAATTACAATAGCAGTCGCCCGGTATATTTAAACCGCACATGAAATTAAAAGATAATCTACATTGTATTTTGTATCTACCTTGTATAATTGTTAAAATATTAAATTGTTCCTATAATTTATTAAAATTTAGATAATTGAATTTTCAAATTAAGCCTATACAATAAAAAAAAATTAATATGTAAATAATACCAAGTTTGAAATCAATAATAAATTATATTTGTATGATTAAATGCTTAATAATTATTTCAAATGTTTGATTGTAGATTCTTTAATGGCATAATAATGCACTGTACATTAAATGATAGACTATGGTAACTCGATTGTAGAATATCTTGCAATAAACCCTTTCAGACTTCCCATTAATGATTATTTACTTTGGTAAATCAAAATTCCAATAATGTTTAACAATGTCTAATGCTTGATTACAAGTCCTAATTGTCTCTACAATTACAAATCCAATTTCTCTATATCTAGTTGAAATAATGAAACAATTTACATATAAAAATCATAAATAATCCTAGGCATTGCTAACATTGTAATTCTCTCATTTCAACTTCATGTGAATCATATTCTCAATCAAGCAAATTATTTCGAAAATTTACAATAGATTCAAATAGATGTAATCGCTACACTTCTGAGCCTTTCACACTAAAATTTAATATAGAAATAGCAACAGTATGAAATTCGTTTTAGTGTAAATTAGACAAACAGAAATAAGCCCGGACAGAACTTAATATTGAACAAGAATCGTAAAATAAATTTTTGTAAATAAAAATTTTCTCGTTTTTTTTTTAATGAGGACTATGTTCGATTGTAAATGAACATAGTTTATTTTATTTAAAATTTTTGAAAAAAAAAAAATTTGAAAATAAATGAAAACACAACTAACACTAATAAAGATAAAATGGTAAAATAAAAAAAAAAACGAAACCTGTGAACATCATATTCAAAACGATCGGGTGAACCACAAAAAAAAAATTCAAAATGAAAATTAAAAAAAAAAAAATCCTTTTGTTCCTGGTTATTATTTTGGTTTTTTGTTTCTATCTTGAACACTGTATAGTGTTGCACTTTCCTCTTGTTGGTTGTGTTTTTTTATATAAAAGCAAAAATTGCTTATGAATAAAGTCAAAATTGTTTTCCGTTATTCACAGTTCTTTATTCCACCAAAAAAAAAAAAGAATTTTTTTCTTTTTTTAAATATTTTACAGAGAATGAATATTGCATAAAGGAAATTACACCAATTTCACAATGGTTGCATAATTTTATGAGTAAACCATTTACTTTTCACAATCGAAGGTTAACAGCAATAAAAATGATAATAGTGACATAATAATCACTTGCACGCTTACATTGCTTCAATAAAATCTTAAGAAAGCTTCAATTAATTATGATAATTTTTATTTGAGCAAAAGATTTACAACTATATACCCTATAACGTTGAATACAATTTAATATAAGCAAACCATGGTAATTTTTGATTAAGGATATTTTCATATGCTTTTCAAAATTGATGCGGAAAGTATGAAGCTATAAATGTAAGCACTACCACAAAGTAGAATACTCTGTTTTTTATTTCTATTTCAAACACAATTTAGTAGAAATAGAACGGTAAATTTCTATATAGTAAACGGTAATGCAAAGAGCACTTGGAATAAAATAGTGCCGAATATAATTGATAATTGTTATAAAATTATACCGTCAACAATTATACAGTTTCTACAAGGAAATATATCGAAGTAATGTACTCAATAAAATGATGTGCTCAACAATGACCTTTCTTTACTGTAAGAAGCATTTTCTCTCAAAAGAGAACATCAAATTGTACTGTAATAAAACTTTAATCCACTTAATTATTAATAAATCTAGGTCAAAATCCCCATATGACCTACAAAATTTATTCCACCAAAATTGTTCCGTACTTTGAATCCTCTATACGTACTCTACTCTGAATTCTCTATATTTATATGCCTTTATTTATTTCACATACGTATATAAACTTTGAATTACTGAAAATATACTTAATTTTTTTTACATACATATACATATATCTTAAAAATTTAAAAGTATTCAAATAAAAATACGCTTTACTTTTACATTTTTATATTATTTTAATACTCAAAAACACAAAAATAATACTGAAAAAAAAAAAACAATTGAGCCAATAGAGAAAGTAAATTAAAAAAAAAAGAAAATACAGAAAAAGAAAGAGAGAAAATACAAAACTAACATACATATAAGAGTGAAATAGTAAATTGCATAGAGAGACAAAGACAAAAAAAAATTGAACAACATACAAAAGAGAGCAGAAAGAAGGTTAAATTGAAACTTTTTTAATATATAAAAAATATTTTTTTTTTGTGTTGCTCTTGTTTCCTAGTACACCAACTTTGAAGAGTCTCTTAGAAAGGATATACAAAAAAAAATTGAATATTTTTTAATATTACATTTAATATAACAGTTTTGTCTGAAAAAAGTTTAGTAAAGTGTGTACAACTACTACTGAGCTTAAAGAACAAATTTCTTCTATACTAACTGAATATTTTATTTTTATATTTCTTTTTTTTTTGATTTTTTATTATTTTGAATTTTCACTATTAATATTTTTTCAATTTGAAATAGTCCACAAAGTTACCACCAACCCTTTACAATACTCAAAAAAGCTTTAAAGTTATTTAAGAGTCTTAGTGCCCTAAATTGTTAGGTTCAGTACGATTTTAAAAGTGAAAATTAGAGATTTAAGCGCAAAAAATTAAAAATTGTGTGTAAATATCAAATTTATACTTGAATCTGTAAATGAAGCTGCTTTCGTAATTTCACATTCATAACCTTTTTAATAGTCTGAAAAGCATTTTAAACAATAATTATCTGTTATTGTCCTGAAATTACTAGCAATCTAATAAAAATTTTAAACGTTATTTTGTGTCATGAAAATTTTTTAATTTACTTACGGTTTGAAGATTTCAATATAAAATTGCTTCTATATACAATAGTCACTCTCAGTGATTACGTTCATACCAATTTGATTTGATTTGTACTCCTTTAATTACAAATTCTTGGAAATAATCACTATTCAGAACCTTTTGTCACAAATAATTACTCTGATGTTTGTTAATTTGATACCCGCCTAATGTAAAATTTATATATCGAACGCAATGAAAATTTTTGGAGAAAAGAAATTTATTATAACAATTTCGAAATTCTTTCTCTTAGAAAATTTTTATAATATGGCAACACTAAATTTATAAAAATTACTATGCATATAAAATTTTATCTATATTTAAATTTGATTACAACCACTTTAAGTTGAATAAATTGGTTAAAGAAAAAAATTGGTATTTTTGGTATTTTATTTAGTTCCTTTTATTAAAATAACAATACGTGTAACACTTATTTTGGTTATTTTTTTTCGAATATATTTTTTTGTTTGTTTTATCTTTTGAGTATCAATAAATTTTTGTGGTCCTGCAAAGGGAATAAGGATTACATATCAGATGAAATACAATATTAAATTTTTCATATATTGAACTTTATAAATTGGATTGATTTTTAATACAAAATTTAATTTTGAATTTTTAATAAAAATTGTAAATTTATTAATTTCGACGGGCAGAATTACATTCATACTATGCAGAATTAATTACCATGTTGTATGTCT